GTCATGCACATTTAAGCTCTAATCTGGGCCCTTAGTCCTAGTTTGAGTTTCAGACCAAGTGTTATGCTGTAGCTGTCTCTAGTTTTGCCATAGCTATGCCTGGTCATAGACCTTAATGGCCCTGATCTGTGTGCTAACTTCCCAGCTTGATTTAGTAGCTTCCTTTTCACTATGGAGTTCCCTGGTGGTTGCCGGGCTGTGCCTTCAGCAGCACTTGTTTTTAGTTCATCCTTTTGGTGGATTCAGCAAAGGTTCAATTGAAACCTCCTGGCAAACTCCCATGGGGTTTCAGTTCAAGCCTTCATTTCCGTGCCAAACTCTGCACCTGCCTTTGCATCCTATTGATTATGAACCCCATTAAGGCACTTGCCATTTATTGGTGGGTTGGGGTCTCCCTGGAAGATGCTGGCTCTAATTCTACTGCTCAACATGGAGCAAATCAGCTCGGGACGTGCTGGCTGTTAGTCCCAAGGCCAGAAGCAGATGCTCCCTGTCAGGAGTATCTGAGGGTGTCTTACTCTGAAGGCTGCTTGTTTCTCTGTATGACCCTGTCATTATCTCTGAGTTCTGGAAGCAGATTATTTTGCTGCATGACGAGTACTTGCATCTTTCTTGGAAGCTGGGTAATTAAGGTCCATATGGATGTGATGCCTTATTTACTGTTGTAGTTCTTATATTCCATATTCACATCTACAGAGAGGACTGAGATGACACTGCTGTCGTGTTTTGCCAAGTAGGAGGCAGCTGCATGAAGTTCCCAGTGCTGGAGACATGGAATTAGCTCTGATTGTTGCTTTCCAATTGAAATGGAAAAGCTGACAAATCTTTCCTCTTCACAGCAGCTTTAAACTCATTAAAGGCTGTAATTAGAACTAATGCTTTTCCCAAGGCCCCTGGTGATTTAAGGTGGTTCTCCTGGGCAGCAGCCACCGTTTGAACTAATACTCCACAGGCAGGCAGCCAGCTCTGAGGCAACCAGCAGAAAGCAGCAGAGTTTGGAGTGAGAACATCCAGGGTTCAGGTGCTTGCCTGATCTCTCAATACCTTGCCTCTACTCAGGAGGAGTCTGTGTCCTGAGAGGTTTAGGGATATGTGAGGGACTGCAGCCCTCAGAAGGGCTCAGGCCGTGTGGGTCACAGATCAAGGGTACCAGCAGTGTCCTATGCATAGATGCAGGCAAACAACCTGAAGCCCTTGCAAATACACAGCGGGTCCCAGTTTCAGTTGAGTTCCTCCTAAAGCAATTAACCTCCAAGAAAATTACAGTCTGGCACACAACCATTGACAGGTTGCCAGGCTTGTGGTGTAGCCAACTTTTAACTGAGTGTGTGGGCATTTATTGCCTGTGGGAAAGGTAAGGTGAAACGGGTACGTGGTTGAAACAGCTACATTTTACTGCATGTCTGCAGAATACCTGCAAACCCATCCTCTTGTGTGCACATTCATAGCTTGGAACATGCCTGGTTTGCATCACTGAAATGCAAGCTGATAAAGGTCCTTTTTCTCCAGGTTTAGTGAAGCTGGGGATAAGAATGGTAATCACAAGGTGGTAAAGATGTTACTGGCCCCTTTTTCTTCTAGCTATACCAGTGTAAAACTGCTGTGTCCCCCTCTATCTGGCCAAAAGTACCATAAAAATCAGCAGGTCAGACTGCTCAAAGGGCAACTCAGTTTGCTTCCCAGTAAACCTTGCAGATGCAACCTCTTCTCCAGGCTCTTGTGACTCCTATTAGAATCAACTACTCCACACAGAGCTTATTGTCTCTTTGCAAGTGAAGGAACAAAGCTCAAGAGGACAACCCCAGTATTCTGCTTGCCACTGGGGCAGCCGTAATGACATGTAAGGTCTTGAATACTCATGCTCAAGAGTCTTCTCTTCCTGGACTTTATCTCCCTGTGACAGTGCTGGAAGGTCACCGTTGCAAAGGCCCAGATGCTCAGTGGAGGTGGATTGCTGAAACACGTAAGAGTCTGCTTGACGTGACCCATGTTCAGAGGATGTGAAAATTGCAGGAGGAGTAAGGACATTAGCTGATTTTCCCCCACAGAGCCAGTATGTGTCTCAGTGATGTGAAGGGAATGTTGCAAGGGTCTTAATGATTTGATTTAAGCTGATCCATCAGTCTCATTATCTGCATGTGCAGCTGGGTTTGGGCATCTTGTTGCTTCAAAGACTGAGGTATCTTAGGAAAAAGGGATGGCACAAACATACAGAAATTCCTGTAGGGAAAGGAAAACCTTGGGAGAGGGAAGGACAAATGACTCACAATTACCTCGTGGAAACTGCAGGATGCATGCAATCCTGACCCCATTTGCGTCACTTTGCCATTAACTTCAATAAGTCAGGTAGCTGTAGAGTACAAATCTCTTCCAGTCACTATAGCAAAGGGTGCAAAGCTGACATTTGATCCTTGCCTATACAACCCTAAAAACTGTCCTTTGCCATAGTTACTGCAGCTGACCTGCAAAAGCACTCTCTGCAAGTGCTGACTGTATTTTTAGCTGATCTTGCATGTGACTCATTAGGGAGAAATGAGGAAAGACAGTCACATGGGAATTCCCAGCTCTCTCCACAGCACTATAGATCACCACAGCTGCAAGAGCCCAAGACACAAGAAGAAAAGGAGGCACGTCCTCTGCTCAGGTGTGCCCTGCCAACAGGGGATGTGCCTGCAATCTAACGAACAACAGCTGGGTAAAAAGGCCACTGAGCAGACAGGGGCCATGGCTGTAACTGATCACACTTCCTTAGTGTACCAGAAGAAGCACATTATTCAGCCAGTCCTACATTTTGACCTGTTCTTGACTAATCGGTTGTAATCATAATTCCCTGTAGTTCTAGTTTTTGGAGCAGCTGAAATCGGGGGAGGATAAGTGCTTCTTGCACATAGCATTCCTCCGTAACCTGCCAGTGGTTCTCCATACAAAGAGTGTACTGAGATAACAGGCAAAAAGTTGGGTACACCCTCAACAAAGGTTCTGGCTAGACACTTCTCTTGCTTCAGGCTGAAGAGACACCCATTTTGTAGCTTATCAGCCTGAGATTCATGTATGGTTAGCAGTAGGAGCTGGCTAGGCTATGAAGTAGAGCTTCAAGTGTTAATGACCATGTTGTTGCTAGTTAAGTATATGAAAAAGAAACACTAATACACTCAGGAGGAGAATAAAAGCTTTCATATGCACTATTTGCAGAGCTTACACTACCTCTTTGGAGTCTTGATCTCCCCAGTTCAATGCTGTATCACTCACTGTCTGCTTTCAGCATGCAGGATTGGGTGCATTTGAATGCTCCATCCCTGGCAGTGTTCAGGTTGGACAGAGTCTTGGGTGACATGGTTTAGTGTGAGGTGTCCCTGCCCATGGCAGGGGGCTGGAACTGGATGATCTTAAGGTCCTTGCCAACCCAAACCATTCTGTGATTCTATGAGTCTATGACTCAGTTCTGCAGGCATTTTTGAGCAGAAGGATAACAGAAAGCCAAGAGCCAGGCTCTGTCCACTGGAATTTGTCAAGATTCAGAGGCATCTTCATTCAGAATAGTTTGTTACCATCTCTGTTTGCTACTCCAGTCACTGGGAAGAATAACATGAGGAGCCATAAAAGTCACACTTGATTTTAGCTCACAGTGGAGATAACTTGGTTTAATAGGGGACACAGCTTCTAAATTAAGATTTCTGCTCACCACTGAAAGCAAAGAGTAGCATTTTTAGCAGAGAGAAAGGCATGTATACTGTCAGAGAACTGTCAGAGCGTGACCATGGTCTGTGTTTGTCATAGGGGGCCATAGAAGGAACGTAAGTCTCTCAAATAACCACACATTCCAGAAACATCACCGTGTTCCAGGCAGGCAAACAAGGAGCTCTAAAGGGAGCTAAAGAGAGCTCCTGAAGTAGCTAAGCCACAAGTCCAAGCCATTGATTGGCCTTCACTCATTCTAGTAGAGTTCCAACATCAACCACCCACACAAGCTGAAACTGCCTCATATTGGTGTCAACCTTCCACTGTCATTAGCTCATGGTGAGAAAGCAGAAGGTAAAGATGTGGCCATCCAACAGAGAGAAGCCAGGTAACTTCTCCATATCAGATGCCTGTGGGGCAAGTCTTCAAATGAAGGAAAAATACTAACCCTACCAGGACTTCCTTCTCTACCCAGATGTTTGAGATGGAAACTGGGCTTACCTTTACACTCCAGTATGAGTGCAGATCTGAGATAGGTCTGTCAAATTATTAAGAACAGAAATGAAGTCTTAACTCATCTCTGCTTCTAGTTTAGGCCAATAAGTGTGCTGAGAGAAAGAGGCTGTTTCCCAGGGAATACACTCGGAATATTCCCCAGAGAATATACTTGGAATATTTGCCTTTCCAAGCCAACTATTTGGCTCTTAAACTGGGGTTAGTTTCCATCTGTCCAGCTCAGAGAATTGAAGAAGTAAAAATGTTTAGGCACCAGCCTGAACCCTCCGTGTCAAAGCTCACTTTTAAGAGTCGGTGATGGTGTATGTTGGCTCATGTTAAGATCTGTGCCCTGAGAGTTGTGCTCAGATTCTCAAATAGGAAAACCTGACCTTTCTTTCCACAGAAACCATTGAGTTATACATTGCTAAGGGGTTTGCCAAGGTAATTTAAAGACAGCAGTATCTTCTCTCTGCTGTTAAGCTCAATACACTGAATGGACTTTGCTGGGAATTCTCCCCTAATTTGCCTCTCTTCAAACTGCTCAGAACACAACTGCCCAGGACAATCCTGTCTGCTGCGTCCTAGCTCAGTCTTGACTGCATCAAGTGATGAAGTCCTCTGCACTTCATGCTCCCATCCCATTCCTGCTAACACGATAATTTCTCATTGCAGGTAAACCATCTCACCTTGAGGTGTCTTCAGAGCCTCCTCTCACCTCAGACATAGCAAACCTTCTACAGAAGAACCCACCTGGCGAGATAAAGCCTGAAACAAGCTCCGCATCCTCACAGCCAACCAGTCTATAATAAAGGCAAGGACCTCACCTGTTTCAGTTTCGTTCCCACCATTGAAGCACTGCTGTCAAGCACAAACACGACGTTCTTTGGCAATGGAGGAAGATCTGTGGGGGCGAAGTAGTGCACGAAATACCCATTAAGAATCTGTGGAAGAGCAAGGAAGTCAGGAAAGGAAGACACATGCAATGTTCCACACACATCATTATGAGATACTTGGTTGGGCACACCTGATCCTGCTTTCAGTATCTGTGTCTACACTGGTGAATATTGGTGCTCCTTGGTATCTCTGATCTCCTGTTTATCCATATTGGCAAGCCTACTAGACCTCTCCACATCTTCTTCCGTGGTGGACATTGGGGTTTCTTTCCAGATGTAGTAAGGTTATAATGTATGTACCCAGTGATCAGAACTGCAACATGCGTCTGAGGAGCTGGCCTTGTATCCAGATATATACAGCCAGTATATTGATAAACTTAAAAGCAGATACACAAAAAAACCCAGTAAAGTAGGTGGCTCTGGGTTCTAAGTCCATCTTGTGGATGCCAACTGACTGGTTTATTTTGGATAGGTCTTACAGATGGAGAAGTAATGGGAAACGTTTTCTAGGACATTTGGAAGATAATTGAACCATCTCAGGTATAGGTAATAAAACATAAAAGATGCATCATGTGTGCAGTACCTGAACATCCCCAACACTCAGCTCCCTGTTGACATCATATCTAATGATGAAGTCTCCCAAAATGCCATTTCGGGCGATCCTGGTTTGCTCAACAACACTGGGATTGAATGTAACTTTAGCCAAGGTTTTCGTATGTCCAATTACAGTAGAAGGAGGAGGAGAAACATCACCTGTTGAGATAAAAATCATAATATTGCAAGGTTTTCCCATTGTCCTACAGATGTCTAAGTAAAACACACATGGAATTACCATGGAGTCAGGTCACCAAGCATAGTTGCGTACTGAGGTTAAAGACTGCGTAAAGACCTCATAGCAGCCTTCCAGTACCTGAAGGGGGCCTATAGGGATGCTGGGGAGGGACTCTTCATTAGGGACTGTAGTGATAGAACAAGGGGTAATGGGTTAAAACTGAAACAGGGGAAGTTTAGATCGGATATAAGGAGGAAATTCTTTCCTGTGAGGGTTGTGAGGCACTGGAATGGGTTGCCCAGGGAGGTTGTGAATGCTCCATCCCTGGCAGTGTTCAAGGCCAGCCTGGACGAGGCCTTGGGTGCCATGGTTTAGTATGAGGTGTCCCTGCCCATGGCAGGAGGGTTGGAACTTGATGATCTTAAGGTCCTTTCCAACCCTAACTATTCTATGATTCTATTGAAGACAATGATTTCATAGCTGCCTTCCAGTATCTGGAGGGGGCCTACAAGATGCTAGAAAGGGACTCTTTATCAGGGACTGCAGTGCTAGAACAAGGGGTGATGGGTTCAAACTGAAACAGGAGAAGTTCAGGTTGGAGATAAGGCAGAAGTTCTTTACTGTGAGGGTGCTGAGGCACTGGCACAGGGTGTCCAGAGAGGTGGTAAGCACTCCATCTCTGGCAGTGTTCAAGGCCAGACTGGGTGACATGGTTTAGTGTGAGGCATCCCTGCCCATGGCAATGGACGGAAATTGGATGATCTTAAGATCCCTTCCAACCCAAACCATTCTGTGATTCAGCTCACCAGTGATAAAAGAACTTAATAACCTCTCTCCTCTAAGTCTAAACTGAAACCAACACTGCAGTGCTATCAAGAACATAAATATTTAGGCAAAATTCTTGTGCTCAGTCCTGTTTGGAGGTTACTGAACTCAAAGACCAGATACTCTGTAGGACTGTGAATTGCTTTCTGTAAGTAACACACAGCTTCTGACACATGTGTGATACATGCTCCAGTCAACTCCAGGCATCTAGAATGTGGATCCTATACCTGGGATGCTGCCAGTCAATGCAAGCATGACTCATTGGACCTGTTTAAACATTTCTTTTAGGATGACATGAATCATTCTGCAGACTTCTCTCTATCGTTTATAAAGAGTTCTTGAGGTGCCTTGTTCAGATGTACTACAGGCATGTTGAGGTAGGACTGATGTGACTAATCGTTTGCTGGATCTGACAAGCATCTCATGTGTAATGTCTACATCTGAACAAGTCATCTTAGCTGCCTTTATGCTCAACAAAGTTACCAGGATAGTCACTGCAATTTCAGTCTTACTGGTTGAGGCAAATCCCACAGCTGCTAATGCAGCCATACAAACTGCAGCCCTGAGATGTAACTGCACCCCTGAGATGTCACTCAACCTAATCTCTGAGAGCACTTCCTGCATCAGTGAAGAGAGATGTGCCTTTCAAAGGGTATCTCAGCAAAACACAGTGATTTAGGTCTAAGTCACGCTGAAGGAACCTCTGCTTGTCTTTTTAGCTGTGGTCGTTTTCTAAAGTTGAGGGATATGGAAATTCTGTGGCCAAAATCTCAGCTTACCCCTTCTTTGTGTGCCAACTGTTCGTTCCCTCTGAACTACACATAAAGACATAAATACCCTTACATGAGACTGACCAAAGGTCAGGTTTGTCCTTGAACTTGCCCAGGTTTAGAGGGCTTTCCCCCTTGTCCTAAGTGGCTATTGAAAACAAAAGAATAGATTCTCAACTGATGTTCTTCTTGGGTGCTTCAACTCTCACAGTGATTATTCCAAAACTCCCCTGAAGCACAGAAGTTCTATTATATCTGCTCATGTGCTGATTATAATCGATGGGAATGAGCTGCTCAATAGCACTGGGTGGAGAGTCTCAAGTCCTTGCCAAAGATGGCCCAAGGAGCCTGTGGTATGGCAGGGAAAAGAAAAGAGGGTGAGATTCAGTTCCAGTTTAGTCATTCACAATGTAAGTACCTATGTCTGAACTTATTTTTTAGGCTCTCATTACACTCAGTGGAGATCAGGTCAAGCGTGATTGGGGTGTGATACATCTGGCCAGACACAGACATCTGCTTTAGAATAATGTGAATTATGTGTTATACTCCATTAACAATACTGATCACAAGGACAAGGTGCAGGCAGTCTTGGAAAGCTCCTCTCCAAGGGTTCCTATAACACCGTATCTGTAAGTGGCACTTCTCCACCTTTGTAAATGCTTTGAGCAGCATTAGAGGAATGCAGAGTGACATTTGTACGCAGCATTGAACACAATCCACCTCACATCCACATCCCACAGTGATTTACAAAATAGGATACATAATATTATGTCCATTTAACGAGTAGGAAAATGGGAGTGTGGAGTGGTTACCTATCTCACCTGATTCCCCACAGGTCAAAGCCCTTAGAAATGCTGGGACTGTGGTTCTTGTGGATTTATGGAACGATTAGCCAAAGCTGTTGACTCTCAAGTGCTATGTACAGTCTAGACTCCTATAGGCAGAGGAATGAAAGTAAGAGCCATAAATCCACAGGAAGGATGTGACTTCCATGTTGATTTGGCTTTACTTTTACAGCTATCCCGTGAGTGCATTTGAATAGACAAGGCACAAGACTGTCCTACTGAGGCAGGGAAGTGCTGTCTTACAGGACAGATTCCTATACAAATAGATTATAGTTGGAGGACCTGGAATGTTAAACAAACTCATCAGCAAAAGCCTTGACCAAGGAGCTGACTGACACACATTACAATCATAGCATCATAGAATGGTTAGGAATGGAATGGACCTTAGAATTACCTAGTCCCAACTCTTAGGGATGGAATGGACCTTAGGATTACCTAGTTCCAACTCCCAAATTACTAAGTTTCAGGCAAAAACTGATGCTGCATCATGGCTTCTCTGACCATGCCAATTCCAATCCATCCATCCTGATGGAAACAGAGTGAGGGGTCCCAGCCAGTTCACTGAAATCACTTAAGGACACTAGTGCTGGATATTAAAGGGAGGCTATAAAACGATTACCCAGAGCTTTAACAGATTTTTCTAACTGTGTATAGTTCAGCTTTCTCCTGGCACAGAAAAGCCATAAATCAATAGCTCTGTAAGATTTCACCTCCATCTTCATTTGGTTTTACTTTTATAGGTGCCCTTTGGTCTGATGAATCAACAGACATAATACATTTCTAATACACAGTGCATCAGATTTGCTTGTATTGACCTCACTGGATTTTCCATCTGTCTTCTATCGCTTCCATAATTCCATTTACTGCCAGTGTGTGGGAAATGCCCAGAATTCATAGAAATAGCTTAACAGTTCACTTATATTTTCTGATCTATTTGAGGATTTCACATTACTTCTTAACTGCTGAAAAGTAAGCATTAGCACCCATACATCAGGCTGCCTGGCTGTATCACATCAGGGTTAGTGTAAGTCAGTCTGACTCTGGAAACAAGCTCTCTCCTTGCAGCTACTGCACAAATACATCCTTGGCTGTGGCGTTTGGACTTAACTTCTTGTTTCTCTGCCATAAGTACACTGATGGGTGAGCATGACCACACCAGCATGACTTCCAGTTCTAGCATCTCTGTGGACTCTGACCATCGGAAATCAGCTAAGTTAGGCAGACACTCCATGCCTCAGTTTCCCCACTCATTAAATGGGCATAATCACATGTATCCGGTTTTATAAACACTGTGGAACGTAGATGGGATCATGTGGATCCCACTGCATTCATCTACCGCTCCTCAAAGCACTCTTTGGAGGTGAGAAATGTCATCCCCGATAACACAGGCAGTGTTTTAGAAGCCCCTGGAGAGGAGCTTTCCAAGGCTGCCTCACACAGCCTCAGTGGCACGAATAGTGAGGGAAGCTCTCCCATCTTCTTCATAGTCACTCATCTCCCATCGCCAGGACAGAGGCTAAAACGAAAAGAATGGTCTGATAGAAAAGGTCCCAAATAACTTTTTTTTTACCCTGGAATAATAGAAGTCAGGTCTGGAATTCAGGTTATCATCTAATTCATCCCATGTTCCCTCACCAAATCCCTTCCTACTTTGTTTGATGTCATGGTCAGCAGACATTCCAGACCTCCAGTAATGGAAACGCAATACCTGCCCTTGCCAGTCCTTTCCAGAGCCTCTCTTTTTCTCTGTCTGACATTTTTAATGTTTAATTCACATTTTTCTGTCTAGATTATAAACCCATGTCTTGTTCTTTCTGTTAGTGACACAGAAAGCACGGTATTCTTTTCCTCCTTTCTTCTAGATGTTTGAGCACAGTTACTATGTCTTCCCCCAGGTTTCTTTTTTAGGCAACACTGATATCTGGATCACAATTACTCTCCTCTGTTTATTGGCCCAGTGCTTTTCAAACAAGGGGCTGAGAAAGGAAAATCCATGAGATACTGCAGAGTACAGAGCATGGATGAGTTGCAAGGATTTCTGATGGTCTGTGTTCACTCCAAGGTAGTAAATAGGGCCTCTAGACAAACTGCCCATCAAATTCAGCTAAAGAAGTAAACAGAGCAGGAAAAAGCATTTTTTTCAGATTAAACTGTAAAACAGTTAAATCTAAATTATTTTAGAGACTGGTAAACTTGCCATTAGAGCTCAAAAGCAAAGCTCTGCTAACGCAGAAACTTCTGGACATCTCTGGTAAGAGATAAAAACCCTTCTGAGAGCTATGACTTTGAAAAGAAACAGTCATTCTCAAGCAGCCTAGTGTCTCTTTGCCCAGGTCCATGCCTAGCTTTCACACTACTGTCTTGGAGGCAAAGGATGACAACAGTCCTCCCTCAGGATGCTGGGTGTCCATCATTCAGGAACTGTCTCCGTTCTGAGGTCACCAGAGATGGATCATTGACCTCCTGTGTTGGGGTTTGTATGTGACAGAAGACAACACCTGCACATGCCAGGAGATCACTTTCCAAAACTCACATGCCTGATATCTTCCTTTGGGAAAAATACAGCTCCCAGATGGAGCTGCATGCACAGGAAATACCCTGGAAAGACCTCTCACCACATTGTCCCTGCTCCGTATCCAACAATGACATATGCAGGACTTTCTAAGAGCCTCTATCTATAGCAAAGCACAGCTTTACTTTTAATAAATCACGGAAAGTTTGTGGAACCAGGTCCAGTCCTTGTGTCTTGGGCCCTTAAAGCAAAAAACAGGCAGAATTGGACTCTTTTACTGCTTCTGCTTGCGCCGCTGTGATTTCTGTGCTATTCACAAATGAAAAGTGTCCTTCACTCTTTCTCATCAAGGGACATCTTTTGTCCATCGATCTTTAAGTTCTACCTCTTCTATTCATCACAATGGATACTAGCAATTTGGCAGGAGTCAAAAGTGCAAATCCTGAATGATCATTAAACAGAGAAACTGATTTTCTACCACTATGCTTCATGCATGGTATATTGACTATGGATAGCATGTAGAAAGCACCACAAATGTAAGAGGATTGGTCCATAAAATAAAGGCAGATCAGCCGTTCTTCCACTTTTGGTCATCTGAGCTATTGCTACAAATGTTTTCATTAGGTTTGCTGACAGCTTTTATTGCCACAAGTTGGCATTTCAGTGAACATCAGTTATTGCTAGTGCTAATCATACAGAGATGTGGATGACTCCAAAGCCAAACATGTTTGATTTTCAATTTACTTTACCTATTCTACACCGGATCCTCAGGACTTGTACTTGGAAAAAAGAATATAGTTTCTTATTGAGGTCAGCCAGAGTCAAAAGTATTCAAGTGACTTGTGAAGCTACATCCCATCTTCAGCAATGGTTTCAGGTTGGTGATGCTTTGGACATGTTACTTGGAATGCCTTTTAACTGATGACTTGATGTCACAATACATTTTTCACCCAACACTCTCCAGGTAATTTATGAATGCTTACCAAAATCTCATGCTATCATTAAGTGGGAGATATTATTAACATCTCTGTAGACATCAGACATTGAGGAAGAGAGTTTTCATGGCATATTCAGGCTCAAACCGGTCAGGCAGCACTATTTCCCAATGACTCCTTAGTGGTCACTGTTTTAAATCAAGTCGTGACCTCTCTCATTTGTGGCACCACCATGGCAGCATCAGGTCTGACACCCTTTGCTGGCCACTTACTTAATAGATTGCTGCCACTCAAGTGACACTGAAAAGCTTTAAACCACATGAATCCAAGAAGACACCAGACCCTGTCTTTGTGCCTGGTTTACTCCCAGTTTGCAGACTGTCTTCCTAGCAGCCACTTTTTAAAGGTAAGACTCACAATTTCCATGTCTTTCACTTAAGAACCTCCCTCAAAGGTCTCAGTGGCTGCGCAGAGCTCATGCTCTGGGGTTTTGAGGTGTTGTATGAGCAAGAAGGCTTTGCAGCAAGGATCTAATGACTCAGATGCTTTCCTTTTTGGATCAAGCTTGAGAGATGACAGCTCATTGGAATATAGGAGATTTCCAAGTGCAATGCTCCTTGCCTTGGCCTTGCCCTTCCTAAGAGTATTCCTGTGGTTTCCATTTGTGTTTAGGAAGGCAGGAAGATCCTGTTGTCTTCTGAGTGTGATTGATCTTGTTGGCCAGAAAAGGTCACAAGCAATAAATCCTTCCTATCCAAAACAAGCTGTCTTTCTCCATGACCAATACTAGACTCTTCTGAGACTTGCTGCCAATCCTTTCTTTCCTTTTTCCTTCTTGTTTTTGGTTATTATCTAGTTGGTGGTAATGTCCCAATTTCCTCCTTTTGCTTTAAATCAGAAAGCTTAGCAAGCCTTCTGAATCCATCAATGTTATACACTCCTCTGAGTACCAACAAGGACTCGATCTGGCAGACACACAACGCAGTCCTGACTGCCCATGAAAGACCCCAAAGGTTTGGCATTTGTTTGGCATTTTGATGACTTCCAGAGCAGTGATTTCATCACAGCAAAACAGATTTCATCAACTACATAGGGTGGTTCCACACAGAAAGGGTCTGTAATAGAATGCTGAGCAAGGATAAAGCGCAGGGAATCTGAGCTTCAGTTGCATTACCCAATGGGACATCTATTTTATACATATTCTACTGGCTAGAGAGGATTATGGAATCCTAGAGCTTGGGCCCATTTTTATATGAGCTCTTTGAAATCTGAAGCGCAGTGCCAAGAATGATCAGTGCTCACACATTGCTGTTTGGATAGCAAGTGACCAGAGTTTTTCCTGTATGTCATTTACGCATAGGAATTTCCACACTGCACTAGACCAACAGTGTGTCTGCTCTGCTCAGCCTGTCTCTAACCTTGATCAATGCCAGATGTTTTGCAGCAAAACATATGCCACAATGCACTGTGATATTCCCCAATAGGTGAAAAAGGCTTCCTGTCTCTCCTCATGAGGAACAGAGCACGTTTATCACATAGTACATGGATGTACAAGCAAAGACTAATTAGCTGCCTAAGGCTTGACCTGAAGCTGGTCCAAGTCATTGAGAGCCTTGATTTCACTGTGATTTGGATGAAATCAGGAGGATCACACTGAGCAATCAGTTCAACTCCACTGCATATGCTTCAGGATCTTCAACTGGCAGACATGAACAGCTCCAATGATTTTGCTGGCATTATGTCACTTAGAGTAACCCACAAGATTACATCCTGCTTCCAGGTCAGACTCACCCCTTTGGTGAGGGCTTTTTGTCAACATGGAGCAATCACAGTATCCTGTGCTCCTCACTGTTGGTTTACTCGAAAAACTACCTTTACACTGTCTGAACAGTGAGCAAGGATGGTTAAGGGTAAGAGCAGATACGCATACTGCGCTTAGTGTTTTGGCAAAACATGGATTTTCCTCCTGGAATTTCCCATGTTCTGAAATGCAGGATTTCCTATCTGCCTTGGCATGGAGGGATGGAAAAAACAATTCACTTAAAATAAATATTTCTCAGGAGATGTGGAGCCAGGGAAGAGCCTGCTCTAATGCTGAGCCCAAGGCTTGAAGGCCCAGTTCAAAGCTTGTAAAGGCAATAGGAAAAGAAAGTCCTACTGAGTTGAATGGGATCAGCCCTATATTCATTAAGCATCAAAGTTCTCACAGATACCACAGGAACTCAGTCACCTACAGAAAATAGAAAAAAAGCCATCATCCTTGATGTAAGACTGAATTCCCATCACTGAACCTCAGAGCTCATAATCCCCAAATCCCTTTCACATTATATCCATTATAGCAGCTTTTGTGAACCCTGGCTTTGCCCTGACAGTGAATGAGATCTAAATAGGAACTGCTGATGGCCTGCAATACTTTGACACTCTTGTCACTCAAATGAAGCCACCTCTGGCATGGAATATACCTGTCATACAAGGAGTGCAGCAAGAGTTAAGAAGAGAATGTAAAAGATGTATCTTCTAAACAAAGTCATAGTTGGGATTTGCCAGAACAATTTATGCCTAATGAGCTGCTTGCATTCATTTTGCTTGTTATCTTCCTTTAGTTTCTAATACCGTTTGACCTTGGACAATGCTGCTTCAATACAGTGGTGGGGTTTTGTCTAATGTCTCATTTGGAGCAGAGGAAAAGTGAATCATAGAATCACAGAGCGGTTTGGGTGGGAAAGGACCTTAAGAACCTTAAGTTCCAGTCCCCTGCCATGGGCAGGGATGCCTCACATTAAACCATGGCACCCAAGGTTCTGTCCAGCCTGGCCTTGAACACTGCCAGGGATGGAGCATTCACAGCTTCTCTGGGCAACCCATTCCAGGGCCTCAGCACCCTCACGGTAAAGAACTTCTTCCTTAGATCTAACCTGAACTTCCCCTGTTTCAGTTTGAACCCATCACCCCTTGTCCTATCACTACAGGCCTGATGAAGAGTCCCTCCCCAGCATCCTTGCAGCCCCTTCAGATACTGGAAGGTAACACCACTCTACACAGTTATCCAAGACTGCCTTGGAGAACTCCCAACACCACCAGTCCAGATCCTAAGTGACTGAGGCCCCATTTACGAGGGTCATAAAATCTTTCCTTACCTTCAGCTTTTCCATTGCCCTTGTGCTTGCTGTTCCGCAGGGGAGGCACCTCCAGAGAAACTATTCCTGACTTCTCCAGGATGTTCACCTCCACTCGTAGCCTCCCTACCAGCTGCTGGGGCCGGATGCTGACTGTGTACTCATATTTCCCCAGCCTCCTTTGCAAAAGCTCTTCATAATGCAGTAGGAACTTGGCCTGCATCTTGCGAGGAATGAAGACAGAAGCTTTGAATGTCTCATAGCCATTCTCCCTGGAAGGAAAATCCAAAGACACCTTCACACCCCATACACATCACACACCACCTGCTCCAGTGAAGGACGAACCTGGGTTTTGGTGGTGCAATGAAAGTATTTCCTACCACTGAATATGTGAAGCCAGCAAGAAAGAAAACATCATAACGCTTTACAAAGCATTGGGCACATAGCAGGTTTCCACAGGAGAAAAGGTCCTAAAAGGTGAGATGACTTCTTGAGGAGAGGAATATGACAGACATATACAACATGGAGCAGGGCCAGAGGAAAGGCTGTCTCTTGGTTTCTTACACAGAGAATTTCAAGACCCATATTGAATTCTTGACTTTGTCACTGCTGACTCATTGCAATATCTTAAACAAAGGACAAATGAATTCCTATTCCCTAACATTAGCTGCTTATAGCTCTATACTCAACAGGGAAAAACAGGAATTCCCATATGGTAATTCCACCCCTGGACACTTCTCTAAAATGACTCTTTTCTTCCTATTGACCACAGAGTGCCATCAGTCGCGCAGCACACAACTGCAGCCAGCTTTCTGTTTGCTAATTTGAAATGAGATTAATTCCCACCTCTCCCTATTGCCTCCAGCTGCCCTCCTGTTAAGTGGGGGTAACTGAAGTTGCTCCACCTCCCATACAGACACTGCAGTGTCCAACTCGCAGGCGTTGATACGATGCCAGGCACTACTGCCTGTGAAGGGGAAATAAGCCACGTAACAAGAATGGATGCTTTTAATGGCACATAGGGGTAACTTCAGACCTCACTGGTGTGAGGTTTTGATGATGCCCACAATTTGGTATTGAACAGTCTCAAGTCTGGGACTAAGCTTGGATGCAGCCGCATCTGGAGAAGGAATTTAGAAAGCAAAGGTGCCCTTTCCGAACCTCAGGACTCAATGGGAGGATTTCCTTGGTAGTTTTGTCTGACCCTGTTCTGTATGCAGTAAATAATCAAGTGTACCTTGCCATCTTGTTAAACCACTTGCATTACCACTGAACTTCAAGTCACTACTTTATATCAATATAGAATACTGTTGCTTCTCTCTTATAAGGCTATATCCATGACAGTGCCTTAACTTTCCTGCCTGTTATTCAGGAAGTGACAAGTTTTCTTTCCCTCTGTAGTACATCCTGGAAGTGAAAATCTCATGTAACAGGGTTATGGAAGACCACATGCCATTTTACATGACGAGGAAAATGGAAATGACACCAGGCAGTGCAGTTAATGTCCCATTTAACTGCTTCTTCCTATAAATCCGTGGACGGGTGTGCCAAACCAGCCAAAATGAGGATGAGAGGAGAGCACGTCACTTCCCAGGGCACTTACCTTCCTTCTGTGGAGTTCAGAGGCTTCCTGTGCCTTGCTTTGTCATCACTGCTGTGTTTCTTTTCTTTCCCTGTGACCTCCCCATAATAAGTCTTGTTGCCAATGATCCTGGAGAGACGAGAGATGTCAGCATCATCCCTCTGCACCTACGTACATGCCACCTGCACAGCCTGTTTTACAAGGGTTCAGGGACTGTGCACATGTACTCCTGCACATTTTGCACCCAGCTCTCAGCATTACTTACTTACATGGTAAAGTTGGAGATGAAAGCTGGAGCAGGGATCTGCATCTCAAACACAGCCTCTCGTGCCTCAGATCCGCTGTTCACCATCGTGCAGGACACCGTGGTGAAAGCATAGCGAGAAATGATTGTGGATTTCACACTGAACTCAGACATCCGAGGCCTGGTTTCCTGTTGGTATTGAAAGGTTACCCATTAACACTGACAGTTAGATAACTCACCCCATCAGCGCTCTGATGCCTTTAATACTTAATATCATCAAGCAAGTTATCACCTGTGGGTATTAGACTCTCCTATAAAACAGTCAACAGCAGGCAGTGTGGGCTTGCCCTCAATATTTCAGGTGAGCTGCAAAAGGTAAGCCAAGAAAATGGCATTTCCTTTTTCATGCACAAGAGCAAAGGCCACAGTCATTTTCCAGTGCTTGGGAAGGGTCCAGGAAGAAGTGAGCCTTTAGATGTGAAACACACTGACAAAATCCACTTGTATCCCAAATTACAGCCTTCATCTCTAACCGTGTGAGAGGATCTCGATGAGTCCTTTATAGGCTGGGGAAAGAAGCCTAAAAGAGGTCCCCACACAGTCCAGAGCTATGTGTAATGTGCACAAGAGCAGACATAAGACCTCTTGAAAAACTGGGATCACTGTGAAGCAGCACCTTCAAATTCATACAGTGAGATCCATAAGTAATGTAAACTACTGTCAGTGGAGTCAACTGAGTCCTCCTCTGCTGAGAATCCATCCGGGAGGTCTCAGCCAGTGGATGGAAGAGACTTAATAGGAAACACTGACACCACGATGTCTCAAGCAAAGCATTTTAAGCCTTCTAGCCCACACTGGATTCCTTCCAGCACAGACTGCAGTGAATGACACATAATGTAGCAATGGAAGCTGGAAGCCAATTTCTGCTTCTTGGGAATGCGTTTTTGTGTGCAAGGCCTGGGTTGGAGCATTTCTTCAGTCTCATGTGTTTTATGGACAGCAGTGTCTCCATGGAGCTCAGCAGCTTTCTTCCTGGACGATTTCAGTGTATTTAACTGTAAGCAACCCATGGAGAAAATCCCTGTGTTGCTTTAAACAGTCAGAGATCAAACCCTCAAAAGCAGAAGGGAGCTAAACAGTAAAACACATTGCAAATACAGAGCAACTTCACCGCGCCAAACACAGTGAGACTTTCCCTACTGGGGAAACACCACAGTCAGAAAGCCTCTGCTCACACCCATACAAGAGCTCTGAAGTCAGGAACGTGCTCTTCAGCTCCACTTCCAAGCTTTTTCCTTCAGAACAAGAATCATTTGACAAATGGCTTAACAAGTGTCTGTGTAAGCAGGAAACAAGAACATTTCTGTAGTAGCTGATGGCATCAGAAGCAGTACTACTACTGAGCATCCAGCAACCCAAGCTGCTGGGCTAATGAATTCCAGGCAAGTGGAAGAATGAGGATCCACTGGAAACAAACATAAAGCTGTCAACAGGCTTGGAATAAAGCCCTGCCTGCCTACACTGGCTTGGAATAAAGCCCTGCCTGGAAAAACTCTGATAAATGTGTCTCAGATGAACCTCATCATGATATCTTTAACAGCTGGAGAATGTGTGATGTGCTTTGTGTCCGCTATCGTTCTGCTTAGCACAGGCTCAGCTCACATGGAGCACAATGGCAAAGACTTCTAGGGTATGATTTGTCTCACTGACATCAGACAGCCCAGTGCAATGGATCTAGACTAGAACACATCTGCCTGGATCTCCCCATTAGGCTACAAGTGGCTTTTACTCAGTCACTGTTGATTAGAATGAGATCCTGCTGTTCTCAGGACTTTCCTTGATACATAGGCATGGCTTTCCAGCCCCATTATCCTGGAAATGGAAAGGATGGGGAGTTTTGATCTGAAGCAGTGTTTGTAGGAATGTTTCCAGATGTAATGAGTTGATGTTTCATCCCGTCCTCCACACCACTAATTGCCTGTGGCACAGCAAGAGATACAGAGGATTAATGAAAGAAGTAGAAGAATCTAAAATAAACCACAGCAAATGCTTTTGTTCCAGATTTTCTGCATCCACTCCCATGTTCTGCATTTCATCATAAGCTATGGGTTCAAACATAGTTGACAGCTCAACAGCAAAAGAGAATGAAGCCCTTTGCCTTTTACTTGAGATACAAGTGGTTCTGTAGTGACAGATCCAACCCTGTGAATTCAGTGATGGATTCATCTGAAGTTAGACGGAACATGACAGAGGACACAGACTTGCCCATGTTACAGCAATAACACAAGAATTGTTGTATTGGGTGAGAACAAAAGCAAGTCTAACTCTGTAGCCTATCACTGGCAGAGATCAATAGGACATGCTTAGAGTGTAAAACCAGTCCAACCTGCACTGATACGACCCCAAAATAATCTCTGTTTCAGTAACTGATGGCTGAAGGAACTCATGACCCAAGGGTGGTATTTCTGTGCTTAGCAGACCTCTGGAGATTTGTATTCTATGGCTTTGCACAGCTGCTTTTTGAATCCATGTAAACCTTCAGCTTCTGCAGCATCTTGTGCCAAGGAGTTCTGCAGCTCAGTGGTATTTTATATCAAGAACCACATCACTTAGTGTCCTAGGACACGGGGTAATGGATTTAAACTTATACAGGGGAAGTTCAGGTTAGATCTAAGGAAGAAGTTCTTTATTGTGAGGGTGCTGAGGCGCTGGAATGGGTTGCCCAGAGAAGTTGTGAACGCTCCATCCCTGGCAGTGTTCAAGGCCAGGTTGGACAGAGCCATGGGTGCCATGGTTTAGTGTGAGGTGTCCCTGCCCATGGCAAGAGGGTTGGAATCAGATGATCTTAAGGTCCTTTCCAGCCCCATCTATTCTATGATTCTGTGATTCTATTGAATGTGCTATTTGCTGATCTCTGTCACATCGCTCTATAAAACTCAACAAGCTCCACTTCTGATACAATCACAGACTGAGGGTATCACAAAGAAGGTAGCAAAAGAAAATGAATAAAAAAGCATCCAACACCTCTCCCTCTTCCTGGTGGTTAAGAGTTGCTGTTGGGGAAAGCAAACACTGCATAAGGACATCCCATACAACTGAGGATGATGAAAGAACTGATTCATCTTCCCATCCCTGGAAGGGACCTGCCATTCCTTGTGTATAGCAAATATAAACAGTGGGAGCAGAAGCAGTTCCCAAACAGGTTCCTCGGTCAGGCTTGGCGGGCAGCCCAAGTTCCAGTGCATGGTTCTTGCTCTTACACAACCTGTCAGTGCTGATGCTCTCACTTACAGCTGCATAAATGCCTGTTTGTTTTCTCCACTTTTTATTACGGCTGTCAGAAGATGAGAGGCAGCACAAAGGGAAAAACAAAACAAGCCATTTGTTTCGTATTATTATTACCATGATTTATTATCCCTATTAAAAATAAAGCTAGGGACTGCCAAGGCAGCAGATTAGCACACTGCTATGAGGCAGGTTGGCTGGGTGCTTTGTGAAGGAGTCCTGGTTATTACGATGAACTGAGCTGAGATTTTCTTGCCAAACACATTGTTTTATGCTTGTTTACATCAAATGTTTGGAAAGACAGGAAAGAGCTGAAGGAAAATTAAATCTACTCCACGTTTTTACCTTTATCAGTCAAATTGACCATATCTCAGATTGGAAGTAATAAGCTGGTAATAAGTGTGAGAGTTGTTCTCTTCTAGGCTGCTGATTCAAATCTGTCAACAATGAAAGGAACCAGAAGCTATAAACATGTGGTGGTTGCTGAGCGCATGAAATGAGTTCCTCCAGTTCTCAACTGGGAAGCCCTCATCCCTCAGAAAAGCCAGAACATGCCTATGGCCATGAACAGCAATTTCACTGGCTGCCTTTTTAGTCAGATTTGTTCTAAGCTGTGCAACTCTTGGTGCAGAAATTCAGCCAGATCTCACACGTCTGCTGCACATCAAAGCCTAGGTTCCCATGCTGGAAGAGGGATATTGGATTCCTTGTCTTCTTCCTTTCTTCAGTAAATTTCAGACAGAGATCTTCAAATCTCAAAGCAACCTCTCTCTCTCTTAAAATTCAATGAGATTTCATCAGGCTTATATTCCTTGCAGGGTTAAGGTCTGTAACATTATATATTCTCTCTCCAAATCTGGGGTCGAGAAGATGAATTGGAAAATAGTAGAAGAGTCTTTACATGTCACAAGGATCAGAATGAAGATTTATTTACCATCATTGACACAGTTCATTTCTGGGCACAGGCATGCACACGCATACATACACAGATCAAATGTCATTCCCAGGAGATGAAATGAAGACACAGTGTGATACATACCAGCCTCTGCAGGAACTTGGCCTGTCGTGGAACACGGCGTGCAACCTGCAATGAATTAAAGCAGTTAATGGAGCCTAGTCAGCTTAGAGAAGACATGTCACTTGCTTAAATCCAGACATGGGCTTGATCACCCATGGCCAGGTTCAAATGTTGCTCTGGTTAAACTTAAAACCTGAATCACTTCTATATTAACAGACCCACTAATCAAAGCTCAGCAGTGGAATGAGGCTCTCGCAGGTGAGGAGGTACTTTGTGTTTTGCAAATGCTACTTGTTAAGGGTCCTTCTATATAAAGACAGGCACCTCAGCCCTCACCTTGGATGCTCTTGGCCCTGGAAGTGTGTCCCCTTGTAGCTTCCTATGGAGCCATACAAAAGCTCTGTCTGTATCACTGTCTTTGCCCCATAGCATGTTATATGGTACAGGATGGGAAGGGCTGCTAGGGGGTCCACAATACTCAAATGCTTGAGCAGTGACCAGGTTAACACCTAGCACCCATGTGGTGGGCTCTAGCAAGTGTAACTCCATTCTACTGTGCCTGTGACTTCATCCAAGGGAGGATTTATGTAAATTGATGTTATAGCTTCAGTTTTATTGATATTACCTCAATAGCAGTTTTGAATTGCCTCAAAACTCTCCACAGGTACTATGGGTTTATTGTGCAGTGACAGAAAAGAACTAGTTATGTGCAGAAAGGGAGTAAAGACATGTATACCCAGCCACAGATTTTAGTAAGAAACAAAGTGCTTCACCTATGACAATGCAATAGTCCTCATTGTATCGCCCTTCCCAACAACAGCAATGCCACTGACTCCTTCCATGCACATGGAGCTTAGAAACGTCTCCAAATCAAATCCCGCCCCAAAACAGTTTCAAGTGTCTTGAAAGCCAAGAGACTTCTTCAACCAGAGAGCAGAGGAATGCAATGATATTTTTTACCTGATTTGCCCTTTCTGTTGATTTATACTGAAATAACAGCAGTCCTTGCCAAAGAGATGATTTTGTCTGTTTATATCATGCACTGAAAAGCTCAAGAATGCCCAATGGGGAAATTAAAGCCTTCTCCAGTAGAGCTGTTAGTATTTCCTTCTGCGTTCTTTTAGCCAACATCTTGTAAAATTAGAACCAAAAGAAAACAGTTCCCTTGGGAAACTTGTGAGGAGAAGGAAAAGGAGAAGGAGAAGGAGAAGGAGAAGGAGAAGGAGAAGGAGAAGGAGAAGGAGAAGGAGAAGGAGAAGGAGAAGGAGAAGGAGAAGGAGAAGGAGAAGGAGAAGGAGAAGGAGAAGGAGAAGGAGAAGGAGAAGGAGAAGGGGAGGGGAGGGAAAAGGAGAAGGGAAAGGAAGGGAAAAGGAGAAGGGAAAGGAAGGGAAAAGGAGAAGGGAAAAGGAGAAGGGAAAAGGAGAAGGGAAAAGGAGAAGGGAAAGGGAAGGGAAAAGGAGAAGGGAAAAGGAGAAGGGAAAAGGAGAAGGGAAAAGGAGAAGGGAAAAGGAGAAGGGAAAAGGAGAAGGGAAAAGGAGAAGGGAAAAGGAGAAGGGAAAAGGAGAAGGGAAAAGGAGAAGGGAAAAGGAGAAGGGAAAAGGAGAAGGGAAGGGAAGGGAAAAGGAGAAGGGAAAAGGAGAAGGGAAAAGGAGAAGGGAAAAGGAGAAGGGAAGGGAAAAGGAGAAGGGAAGAGAAAAGAGAAGAGAGAGAAGAGAAGAGAAGAGAAGAGAAGAGAAGAGAAGAGAAGAGAAGAGAAGAGAAGAGAAGAAAGAGAAGAGAAGAGAAGAGAAGAGAAGAGAAGAGAAGAGAAGAGAAGAGAAGAGAAGAGAAGAGAAGAGAAGAGAAGAGAAGAGAAGAGAAGAGAAGAGAAGAGAAGAGAAGAGAAGAGCAATTCTGTGCAGTTTAAATTTAGGACGAAACTTTCTGTCTGAATGTTATCTCAAGCACAGCACCTCAGGAGCCTGCTGTGAGAGGCTGCAGAGTCTCTATCATTGCAGGCTCTTCAGAGCAAGCCAGAAAACTGCCTGTGAAGTTGGTCCTGCTTGGAGGGGATGCAGGGATGAGAGACGAAGGATCCTCAGTAGTTTTTTTACTAAAGGATAACTTTTTGGAACAAATCTGTCTGTCATCCTGTATGGAACGGTCACAGTGGCTTTTCCTGACTAATTGGTAAAGCTGGAAACTTGGTTACCGGTTTTATTTTCCCCACCACACACCCATTTTGTTTGCTTGCTTATCTGCATAACAAAGCTTTGTACTACTTGGCTCCTTCAGAAGCTACCTTCTAAAGTCAGGATGGTAACCAGTAAATACCAATGAGTAGCCAAGGATCACCAGATAACAATATTCCATGTGCTGGGATTTGTGACTACTGCCAAAGCACTGCTGCAGGGTTTGTGATACTGATCAGTCCATTAAACTGTTTTGAATAAGCCAAATTCACTAGCATCATCTAATGGAGCATTTTCTGAGCTAACAGCAAACTTCAGCTTTAAGGCCAACCAAAGCACTCATTAAAGCCCAATAATTAATTGCTGGTAATGACCCCGTAGTTGTTGCCATCTGCTGCTCAGCATGGTCTACAGGGAAGAACTTGGGCTGTAGGAACTCAAGTACCTGTGAAGAGCAGTCCAGAACACTACCTCTAGTGCAGCAGTAATAACTAGCAACCCTATCAACTACCTTAGCAGAGGGGTCAATCATTGGATAAGACAACAGGTAATCCACATGCACTGCAGATACCACAATCCTGCAAAGACCTGTGTATGCACTTGTCTTTGTGTAGGAAGATCCTCCCAGGATGCTAAATGCAGCCTTACACATTCTCCTGAATTCACTGGAGCTTTGTCTATAGGGTAGTATCTTGATCTAGGGAAGCACCTGCCTCTTCTTAACCTGGCTCATGTGTTCAGTGAAGACAGACAGATACCCTCTTCTAGATTTTGCTGTTCCAAGGGAGTAGGTCAGCACCTCCACTTATATATATATATATACATACATATATATACACATTGGACTCTTCACTGGGGACTGTAGTGGTAGGACAAGGGGTAATGGGTTAAAACTTAAACAGGGGAAGTTTAGATTGGATATAAGGAGGAAATTCTTTCCTGTTAGGGCGGTGAGGCACTGGAATGGGTTGCCCAGGAAGGTTGTGAATGCTCCATCCCTGGCAGTGTTCAAGGCCAGGTTGGACGAGGCTTTGGGTATGATGGTTTAGTGTGAGGTGTCCCTGCCTATGGCAGGGAGGTTGGAACTGGATGATCTTAAGCTCCTTTCCAACCCTAACTATTCTATGGTTCTATGATTCTGTTGAATCTGAATGTACTATTCCACATGTGGATGATCTTAAGGTTCTTTCCAACCCTAATTCTATGTTTCTATATCAGTAAGTTACTTCTGCCGCTGATCTGCCAGCAACACAGCTGCTGTGCAAACACCCTCATTTGCCTCAAGCAAGATCAGCCAGGTTATTCCAACGCTGTGAGCCTGTTGCTTGAGCTCCACAGCTGATTTTCCCCTTAAAGCAGGTACGCGAATGTTTTCAGGTACTTCTCCACTGGCAGGGCAGTGGTGGAGATATCCTCTCCCACTTGGGCATGTGGGTCTGCGAGAACATGTTGGCTTGTGGCTGAATTCCCCAACAAGGAATATGTGGTCATAGCGATCAGGATCAACTATGACGTTGCTGAGGTCTCTTAGTGGAGAAACATGGGTACCTCTGGAGGGAGATTCTTTACATTCTATGGAGGTGGGATGAGTGTCTGAATGACCAGGTACAGATCCATATGAAGAGGCTCACTTCTCCTGCTTACTGCATGGCAAAAGATACCAAACACAGGCATTCACTGACACTTTTGATACTGGTATCCCACCTCTTCCACAGGTAGACCAGTCCCACCTGAGTGTCTCATACAGGACCTCTCAGGTGTGATCAAATTTACACAGTTGACGATCCCCTAAGTGACCCAAAGTCACTCGTGGTGTCTGTTACAAACCTGAAGGATGTGAGCACAGATCTGAAGCTCGCCTTTTAAATCACAGCCGCTCAAACCCCCACCTAAACTCTCCTGTTAACTTGCAAAGTTTGTTGCTCTTATAGCCCCATTTCCTCAGAAAATTCAATCCCGAACACAACAGCCCTCATTTGCAGAATAAAGCTATTTTCTTTCTCTCCTGGTCAAGAAGCATTTTCCATGCAGAAATTCACGTGTTCTGCTACAACCAGCACGAGTTAAAAATCAACTACTGAGACCATAGGCAGCAAAACTTTCCTCTGAGCCTGAAATACTCTGAATTACTCAGCCTGGCGCATGGCCAGGACACTGCATTAACTCCCTTCTCCCTGTGGAACGCCTTAGCACAGCTATGGGGATGTCAGCTTGGAACCCACCCTCTAGCACTATTATAGGAGGGTGCGGGTGCTCTCCTAGCTGAGCGCTTTCAACTTCATTGCTCCTTAGTATCAGCCTCCCATAGAGCTGAAATGCCACCGCAGCCACGGGTATGCTGCAGGGAGAGGTGAATAAATGCTGTTTTAGCAACTGCCCTGCATGTTGATACTGATGGTTAAGAGGGGACAAGCCAGCCCCAACACCAGATGCTCCCATACAACAACCGCCTTAGCACTTACCTGCTCCATGATGCTGTAGTCTGCCATCAGCTTCTCCTCCAGGTACCTCGCCATCAGCTCCGAGTCGGGCTGCCCCACCGAGGTGGAGAGGCCGCAGCAGAGCCACCACCAAAGGATCATGATGGAGGGGCAGCGCCGGCCGGGGTTCCTGCCCTGCGGCTAGAGGGAAGCCCCGCTGCTGCCTGCGCTGCCGCCGGCCTCCGAGGAGCGGGCGGGAGGCGGGGGGATCCACCCCTTCTCCTCCTCCTTCGAGCGCCGGACCGGCCCCTTTTCCACCCGGCGGCTGCAGGGATCGCGGCAGGGCTTCCACCCCGCAGCTGCCGCTGCGCATCCTTCAGGCCCAAGCAGCGCCTCATCCCTCTGGTGTCCCTCAGCATCCCCATTGAGGATGGGCGAGGAGATGTGAGCACCGTGCTGGGGGGGTGCTGACTTAGGGCTGTTGGCTGTCCCATGGTGCCTGTCTGAGGGGCTGGTGACCCTGTGGGAGATGGAAGGGTGTCAGGGCTGACAGGGTGTCTCCTCAAGGGGAGGATGGCTCACACCACGGCCACGGAATCATAGGATCAACTGGGTTGGAAAAGAGCTTCAAGCTCATCCAGCCCAACCATTCCCAGCACTGCCAAGGCCACCACTGCCCCATGGCACTGAGGATGTGTGAACCCTTGCAGGGCTGGTGCCTGCAGCCCTGCCCTGGGCAGCCTGTTCCAATGCCTGAGCACCCTCTGGGGCAGGAATTGTTCCTCAGCTCCATCTAAACCTGCCCTGGTGCAGCTTGAGGCCGGTTCCTCTTGTCCCATCGCTTGTTCCTTGGGAGCAGAGCCCAGCCCCTCCTGGCTCCATCCTCCTCTCAGGCACTTGGAGGCAGCCATCAGGTCCCCCCTGAGCCTTCTCCAGACAACAATTACTATCCCACATTCAAAAGCACTCTCCTACGATCCCATTGCTCCCACCCCATTATCTCCGCCACAGAGAGCAGATTCCAAGGAGAGGCTTCAAGGCTGGGGCTTCCCAGAGGAGTGCTAAAGCCTCTGGTTTCACCCCCCGCAGGGACACTTCTGCTGCTGGGGAAGCCTTGGTTGGTTTGTGCAAGCTCCCCGGTCCTGGAGCAGGGCAGGGCTCTCTCCACACCCTCGCCTTGGCACCCCTCCTGGTGCCAGCAAACACAGCCAAGACCCACGCGCACTTTCACCCTCTCTGGTATTGCCTGGGCTCCGTTTCTCCACTGGGCAGAGCAGGGGTGACCCTGCTGCTCCGCTCTCCCTTTCCCAAAGTCAGAGCCCTTCTCTCCCCATGGAGGCTGGGTCCCCACCACTCAGTTGTCAGGGCTGTTCCTCCAGGCTGTGCCAGCTGGCATGGACCTGGCACGTGTCATCCCTAGGCATTTGGGAGCGTGTATCTGCTGCACTCACCTAACCCTGGATTAGACACTAGTGCTTTATTTTGCTATGCCAACAGTAACTTCTTTCATCCATCAAACCTGACTTCTGCTTTTGTTTGTTTGGGGTTTTCGGTTTTCCTTTGTGCAGGCACACACATGTCAGGATTCAGATCACTGCATTTTCTTTTTCCTTTCCAGCTCTGGGTCATCAGGGACTGAAGCTCCAGCCCATGGCAATGACAATCCAGTGAAGGTTTCAATGTCTCTTTGGCTTTGTTAATATGGGTAAAGACACCCTTGGGTCACTGGTCTTTCTCCTGGCGAGACACATGTGCACCCACCTAAAGAACACAGTCACTATGTTCACTAAGGGCCTATGTCCTGGGAGCATTATATCCTCCACATCTACCATGTGTAATGGAGGAGCAGGAAAGGGATGAGAGGAGCTGGAGAGGGAGCAAAGGGAAGGGACAGTGAGGTCAGCACCTTTGAGACGTCCCTTTAACAAATGGATGGCTCAGATTTAGGCTGAGGACACACCGTGTCCACACACAGACCCCTTCTGGCATTGCCAGCAGTAGGGAAGGAGTCAAAAGCCCCAAATCAAAACCCCCAAATGATTGTAGTGCTGATGTGGTGCCTGCCAGAAGACAGTCAAGGCATTATGTTCAGCCTTTTCAAAGGCAGATGGAAGAGGGCTCAGCCATCCATCTGGGTATACAAGAAAGACTTCAAAGCAGTGGTTCAGGCTGAGACCTGGTTTAAGGACACACAGAAAATGGCCTGAAGTGTTTTTACTCTGGATCCCGTTCAGTTCCTGCATGCCTTGTCTGGCTCAAGACACAAGGGCACAGGAGTAGTGTTAGAAGGAAGGCTGCAGCCTCTTGCACACCTCAACCTGCTCTGTCCATGTTTCACTAACCAGGGGACATAGATGAATAAGTGTCAGCATATGCTAAGAAATGCAGGAAACAGGCAATTAAAACAATCCACATAGGATGGTTTGCCTTCTGGTTTGGAAAACCTAGAGGAAACCAAAGCCCCCCTGTAAAAGCAATTCAAAAGTACCCTGCTAACCCTACAGATAACAGTAGTTCCTGGGCAGGAAGGGGAGATGTTTGCCAGCTTGAAATACCCGTTAGGCAGTCAAGAAGCATTTGGAAAAGCATCCAGATCTCACTGTCTATCTCTCTCTGCCTCCTGATCAGCATTCAGCTTGTTTCTGCACATGTTTCTCACATTGCACAGATGAGGAGCTGGGGGCCAGAGGAAATCAAACAGTGAGACAATACAAAGATACTGCAGTAAAGCTGATCCTAGCGCATCTGGTGAAAGGGGGGTGGGTATTCAGACCAAAGCAGGACCCTGGAGCAGAGACAGGATAACCCACAGGCATGAGATAATGAGCTGGGAAAAGCACTGCCCTTCCCAGAGTAACGAGGAGCAGCCAGTTCTGCTCATGCTTTCCTCAGCCAGGGCACCTAAGGACAGGGCACGTAGCTAAATAACACCCAGGTGTGTTTTAATGGGGTTCGGATGCAGTTAGGCTTGGTGGGTGAACATTAACCCTGGGGTCTTAATTGTTCACATTATCCTTGGAATACAGGCTCCTGATCTGGGGGCGAACGTGCTGGGCACTGCTCTGGAGCTGCACTGGAGGACAAGATGAGCAGTTACTCAGGTGTGCTCACATCAGACACGTTTGATGCTGACTTTTGCCGACTCAGCAAGACGAGCAGCTGGTCTTTGGGTGGGAGCTCAGCAAATGCAAGTGCCTGGCATGCCTGCGGCCAGCATGAGCAGAGAAAATGGAAAGAAGCATGATCTAACAGCTAATGTGAGCTTCCGTACACATTTCACTTGGAATACATCATGTTATATCAAGGAATCTCTCTGTGTCAATACATCGACATATCCCCCTTGGTGATGCTCTGCTTTCACATAACCTCCATCACCTGGTTCTCCATTCAAGGCTCATGGACAGGACCAGTCTTCCTAATTTTCATCATACCAATCAAATAAACTCTGTAGGGAGTATTGAAACTAAAGGCAATGTTGCCACCTTCCAGCTCAAGAGCAGCTTTCCAGACTGAGGAAACAAGATCCGAGCCTCATTTGATCACTGCATCGGTGCCATGGCTGCATGGATCCACAAATTAAAGACCTCCCATTCTAAGTAGAAGGATGGGATACAAGAAACCCACCTTGTGCAAAGGCATCTACATTAAACACCTAATGAGAAGGGTTTGAACCAGGAACTGAATCTCCTAATGAAGTGTAGAATTTAGTGGCATTGAAAGCCAGCAATTTGATCAAGAAACTGGAAAAAATCCCAGAGGATTATAAAGGCATCAACATAGATAAATATCTAGAGCTAAAATTAAATACAGTGCAGTGCAGGGATTTACATGAAATACTTTCTTTCAGGTCTTAATCCAATCAACTTCCTGTGAAACATCCAGATGGGACCTGATGGTCCCCAGTTCTGTCACTGTTTGGGAGATGCCTGTGCATTTTCTGGGGCTCCAGTGGCTGCCTATCTGCCTGTTGCCATCACCTGTGTGCACCAGGGCCCAGCAGAGCAGGTCAGAACTTCAGATACTGGTATTTTCTGCTTAAGTAAGCCTGAAGTAATTGCCAAAGGCCATTGGTGCTGGTGATGTCTGGCTCTGTCTGGGGGACTGATGTGAAAGTCACTTTGAAGAGGTCCTCAGGGCAGACAGGCAGGTTGCTGAGTCCTGGTGTCTGCTATGTCTCTGTTCAATGGGAGTACCGAGAGAAAAGGAGTGTGACCAGCAGGTTGAAGGTGATCCTGCCCCTCTGCTCTGCTCTCGTGAGACCTCACCTGGAGCATTGTGTGCAGTTCTGGTGTCCTCAACATAAAAAGGCCATGGATCTGTTGGAACAAGTCCAGAGGAGGCCACGAGGATGATCAGGGGACTGGAGCACCTCCTGTATGAAGATCGGCTGAGAAAGTTGGGGCTGCTCAACCTGGAGAAGAGAAGGCTGCGTGGAGACCTTATAGCAGCCTTCCAGTATCTGAAGGGGGCCTATAGGGATGCTGGGGAGGGACTCTTCATTAGGGACTGTAGTGATAGAACAAGGGGTAATGGGTTAAAACTGAAACAGGGGAAGTTTAGGTTGGATATAAGGAGGAAATTCTTTCCTGTTAGGGTGGTGAGGCACTGGAATGGGTTGTCCAGGGAGGTTGTGAATGCTCCATCCCTGGCAGTGTTCAAGGCCAGGTTGGACGAGGCCTTGGGTGAGATGGTTTAGTGTGAGGTGTCCCTGCCCATGGCAGGGGGGTTGGAACTTGGTGATCTTAAGGTCCCTTCCAACCCTAACTGTTCTATGATTCTAAGGGAAGAAAGTTAAGACACCAAAAAATCCTTTTCTACATGCCCAGATATTGTGTCCCAGAAGGGCTTGTGTGTGGTGGGATGAATGGCAGGGCATTAGACTCTCTGGGTAAGTGCTGCCTTGCGAGTACACCCTGTTCCCACCCGGACCGCTGGGAATTCGGGTGAGGAATTTGAAATGGGAAGAGGAAACTGCCTATCTCATAAGGCACAGAAACTGAGAGTATTCCTTCCTAAGTGCAAATGAAGCTAACACAGTCCGATCATTCTGAGGGATGCTGCCCAGCGGTAACAGCAAGCCCATGAAAACCTCCCTCCAGAGGAACGCCGACCGGGAGAGGAGAGCTCATCAAACAGCCCAACAAACAGCACAAGGCGTCTGAGACCGTGTCCTCCTCACGAGGGGATGGGGAAGTTCGCTTACCCTGACAGCAACCGGTAGGGCTCTGAGCGTA